TAAAAACAATGTAACAGGATGCAGGACTGTGTGTTTACAAAAGGTCCAGAGGCGCTCTATCTTTCCTGCCGCCCACATTCGGTAGTCTCGAGCCGTGTCCCCCAACTCAGGGAAGTCGATGGCGATGGGCAGGCAGAGGAACGAACGAGGGCCAGGATGGTCGGTATCAATTGTAGTTTATTCCAATTTTCACTCTCACCTCTGATTCTGCCCTCTGGAGCCTAAGCTCCGGAGCCCGATCCTGCGCTTCAGCTTGAGCCTCTGCCCGGGCCTCAGCCTCAGCCTCAACTCAGTCTCTGCTCTCTTGAGCCCAAGCTTCCTTGGAGCTTACAGACTTAGTTTATATAGCAATCACATAGGGTGGTGACACAAAGGTGGGTTGAACATTAACAAATAAGCAAAGAGAGATAAGACCACTCCTGGAGGAGATTAACTCAAGGATTAAATCTCATCTAAAGAGATTTATTCCAGATTACTAGGAGATCAGCTCAAGGGTGGGATCCCAACAAGGGTGTGTTCTTTCCTCATCTTGTAATCTACTTAAATAGTTGTAGGAAGTCTACTTCTAATAATTCTAGCAATGTCATTATGTCATTCTCTATGAGCACACCAAGAGATAAACTTACAGTTTGGTTCTTCCTGAGGACATCTCAATATATATATCACTTAATCACTTAACTTCCCGTTAGTCGTCGATTTGCTCGAGCGGGCGCCAGTAACGTCTCCATTTGTCCCTGTCGCGTGCTAGTGTAGCCCAATGGCATCTGTTCGCTCCAGGAACATGAAGGGCCTCAAACCGATCGTTCATGATCTTCAGGAAGAAGTCTGACCATCTGGTAGGTGGGCGGCCACGCGGTCTCTTGACATCCCGTGGAATCCAATCAGTAACAGCTCTAGTCCAACGGTCGTCTTTAAATCTCATTACGTGACCAGCCCATCTGATTTTCGACACCTTGGCAAATGAGACAGCGTCCCTGATCCTTGATCGTCGACGGATGTCAGAACTCCGGATTCTTTCTCTCATTTGAGTGAAACGTGATATTCCAAGCATAGCTCTTTCTATTCTTCTTTGGGAGACCTGAATGGCGTTCTCATCTTGTTTGCGTAGGGCCCAGGTCTCTGAGGCATATCTTAATGCAGGAAGAACAGTGGAATCAAAGAGATGTGCCCGGAGCCGGAGGTTCTTCGTCCTCTTAGCTATTTCTTCGACGTTCTTGAAGGCGTTCCAAGCCGCTCTCTTCCTCCTGCGCAGCTCGGGTGCCAGGTCATTTGTCATGTTGACCTCTCGACCTAGGTAGACATAGCTGCTGCATTCGGAGATGGTCGTACCATTGAGAGCGAATGGGGCGTCAGGAACGAGGCTGTTTCTCATAAACATTGTCTTCGTAAGATTCAGCTGTAGTCCTACCTTTCCACACTCACGGTCAAAGTCGGCCAGCATTTGTGCCGCTTGGCTGATGTTTGGTGTTATTAAAACAATATCATCAGCAAAGCGGAGGTGGTGTAGTTGCCGACCATCTATCTTCACTCCCATTCCTTCCCATTCCAGTCGTCGCATGATGTTCTCGAGGGTGGCACTGAAGAGTTTCGGTGCAATGGTATCACCCTGCCGCACCCCTCTCTTGACATCAACGATCACTTCTTTGTAGAATGGTGAGATCCTGGTAGTGAATCCGCAATACTAGCTCACGGAGGATCCTGATGTATTGGGCTTGAATGCCCTGATTGGCTAGGGCTTCAATGACCGCTTCCATCTCAACAGAATCAAAGGCCTTCTTTAAATCAATGAACGTTAAGCAGAGCGGCATCTTGAACTCCCGAGAAACCTCAATGAGCTTGGTTATTGTGTGGATATGGTCGATGGTGCTGAATCCTTTGCGGAACCCTGCTTGCTCGCATGGTTGTCCTTCATCTAGTGTTCTGCCAATCCTATTCAGGATGACTCGAGTGAACAACTTGTACATGACAGACAATAGGCAGATCGGGCGATAGTTGCCAATGTCATGCATGTCTCCCTTCTTGAACAGTAGTACGGTCCTGCTGGTTTTCCATTGGGACGGAACCTTGCATTCAGACAGGTAGCGAGTGAAGAGCCGAGCCAGTGTATTGATGAGTACTGACGGCAGGTTCTTCAGGAGTTCAGGTCTGACCTTGTCTGGGCAGGGTGCTGTTTGTTTCTTTACCGATGAAATGGCGTATCGGATTTCGGAGGGGAGAACGTTGGGAACAACATACCCATCCTGTGGAATTTGGTATGTTGGCAAGTGGACATGGCTATCGAAGAGATTTGAGTAGAAGTCATGGATAATCCTCTCCATTGCCTTTCTGGAGGATGTGATGGATCCATCAGGATGTCGGAGGGCAGTCATCTTGGTCTTATAGTTGGCTAAGGACAGGCGGGCCTTACGAATACTTTTCCCGGCTTCTGCCGCATCTACCAGTACTTCTGCTCTTCTCTCTTTGAGGTCTTCCTTGATCGCATCTCTGCACTGCTTTGCAAGCTCGGACGTTAGCTTGCGGTTGCCTGAGGCATGCGCCAAACCACGCTGGCGAATTAGCTCAAGAGTTTTCGAAGATAGGCGACTTTTTGTGGCTATCTCTCTCTTGGCGTTCCTCGCACATTCATGGAGGTGCTGAACCAGTCGATTGTATTCCTCATCAATGTTGTCAACAATGGCATCTTCCCATGTTGCCGCAATAGTACCAAAGAGTTCCCAGTTGGTGGTCATTCTGGGAGTTCTCTTTTTGAACTTTGCAGCCCTTTCTCCCCGCTCTGTGAAGTAGAATTTTGCACGAAGGAGACGGTGGTCCGATCCCGTTCGAAATTTTGGGACAACAGCGACATCAGTCAGGCAAAACCGTCGATTGAATATGATGTGGTCTATTTCGTTGTGGAATCGTCCGCCGGGAGACTCCCATGTCCATCGTTTAGATTCTGCCTTCTGGAACTGTGAGTTACCATGGATGGTCTTGGTCGACATGATGAACTCTGACAGTCTCTCACCCTGTTCGTTCCATTCTAGGCCATGGGTCCCGATGTGAAGTTCTTCAGCTGATCTTCTCGGTCCTATCTTGGCATTAAAATCACCCACAATGATCTTGTAGAAGGTGTGGTCTTCTTTATAGAACTTCTCTAGCTCCATGTAGAACTTCTCGATTTCTCTTTCATCATAATGAGATGTTGGTGCGTAGACAACGAAGATAGAAACTGCAGGCAGTAAGCCACATCTATTCAAATGTAAACGTCCGATTCGGGTTGTTAGGCATTCGAATGAATCAATGCTCTTGGCCAAGTTTGTGTTGACAAGGACACCGATGCCTCCAACACCTCTTTTATCGCATGTTCCGAGGAACAATTCTTCTCCAGTGTCGAAAACGGCGTGGTGAGATTCGTGCCTTCTTGTCTCGGTCAGACCAATGATGTCGTACTTTATCATTCACGCTTGTACCATCAGGTCCTCGATGGATGCATCTGATGCTAGCGTACGTGCATTGAAAGTACAGACGATCATTTTTGTCTTCCTTCGTTGTGGCAGCCTAGGTCGGCCTTGAGATTTTGTCAGCCTCTCCTTTCTCATCCTTCTCAGTGCTGCCATGTCGGTGAAGCCTTCAGGGTCAGGTGAATGAGACCAGTTGTAGTTACTGGTTTTGGCATATCGAATACACAGCGGATAGCTTGCCAGGCTCTTCTAATATATATATATATTAGAGTCCTCAGGCCAGGTTAGTCTTCCTAGCCCAGCAGGATCCTAGTCTCGTCGTTACTTACTTTTGGATCATGACAGCATTTGTCTATGATCATGCCCTCAATTTATAGTTGAGCATCGTGGCGCTCTGGCCTGGCCCATTTCGATGCCATAGCTTGCCCTGGGTCCATTAAGTCCCTCGGTGGGACCCTGCTTTTGGGGTGCTAGGAACTAAGGGCAACTGAGACAAGAAGGCAGATGCCCACGAGTAAATATTATTTGGACTCAATCAACTCCCAAGTTACAAAACATAATATTAACTGTCTTCCTGTGTCGATACAGAAAGGACATTGCTTTCAGGTATACTATGCAAAGGACATAAATTACAATACAAGATCAGTATCCTTAGAAGGATCTGATCTTACAAGCTAACAGAATCTGATTAGGGAGAAAAGGTGATTAACTGGCTGGGGAGGAGAGCACAGAGAAGAATTTACAGATAAACAGAGGAATGGGAGTGATTTGAGAGCACTGTGATGGGTGTGACCAGATAAACCTGAGCTCCCCGTGGCAGTGTTATTCTACACAGGATTTAATCCCCAGGGTACCAGAGTGAAAACTATGTGGATCTCTGAAGCCCATGAGAAGTCCTAGCCAACAGTGAGCAAACTAGGGACCCAGAGTATAAAATGCCACATAAAGGTGCTTTTCCACTACAAGCCAGGACCAACGCCTTGTCCACCAAATACCAAAATGAACCACAAGGTCCAAATGGCAGCTAAGGGGTTTATACCCAGAGAGATCTAGGGAGATGCTAAGTACCATCATGGTGATCCTTGAAAGAATAGAGACAGAGTTACAAACAGTACAGCACAAGATCTGCAAGCTGAGAGGGAAGAATGGGGAAGCAGGGTGTTTACACAAAGGTGCCCTCCCAATGAAAAGTCATAATTCCTTGCTTAGTTTCCATTTAAAGCCTTTTAGATCTGTGATAAGTAACAGGGTCTCAAGGAGGAAGGGTACTAAGTGGAAATGATGAATTCCCCGCTGCTTATCCCAAGGTGAATCATATAGGCACTTACTTGAATGTGTGCATACTGGGGAAACAGACCTATGGAGAGCAAGTAAGAGGTGCTGAGCTTTCATCAGTACAGATAGAGGTTGAAAACCACCCTCATAGCTCCTGTTAGACTGGATGCTTACAGGGGCCAAGTAATAACTAACTAAAAGAGGCCTGTAACGGGCCCGCAGACTTACACAGCAGCCATATTCAAGTCCACCATACATAAGTGGGAGTGAGTCGGCAGATGGGAGTTAAATTCTAAGTGGATCCTTGGCCTGTAGTTTCAGTGATACCAGAGTGAGGAAAGTGGAAACCTCTGAAACAGCCCCCTCCACGAACAAGTGTAAATTGTGATGATTAACGTTTATGTTAACCTGAATTAAGCCAAGTGAAGTTTCATACCTACAAACAGGTAAAAATAGAAACAGTTCACAGGTTATTGACTATACAGAGAAAAATTATATAACTTCTAATAAGAAACATTTTGGTATTTATGATGAAACCCAACATCAGTGTTTCTCAACCGTTTTCTGACCATGATATCTCCTTCCATCCGTATTTTCTTACTGGGGGTTCCCACTACTTTTTGTTTTGTATTGATTTCTTTTGGGGTCCACACCTGGTGATATTGATTGATTTCTCCTGGCTGTGTATTCACGAATTACTCTTGGCAAGGCTCAGGGGACCATCTGGGATGCTGTGGATCAAACCTGAGTGGACATCATGCAAGGCGAGTGCACTATCTCTGATACTCCAGTCCTCCCCCAAGTATTACACCATATCCCCACTTTTGAAAGCCCCCTAAGAAAACACTGCCCTACATGATCCAAGTGTAACATGTGTTAAGGGTTAATAGCATTTTTATGCAATAGCAGGATATTTCTGAGGCCTGGGGATGGGATAGGCGGCTACAGTATCCACTGAGGCTGCAGTATCCAGTAAGTAAGTGTCAAACTCAGTGTTACTGCAAAAACATATATGCAGGGTCCGGAGCCATATAACAGTGGATAGGGCATTTACCTTGCATGCTGCCCACCTGGGTTTGATTCTCAGCATCCCATATGGTCCACCATGTACCGCCAGGAATAATTTCTGAGTTCTGATCCAGAAGTAATCCGTGAGCATCTCTGGGTCTGAGCAAAAAGCTACAAAAAATTATGCAGATGTAGGTAATAACAGGAAACAGTAGGGTTTTTTAAATTTAATTTTTACGGGGCTGGAGCAAAAGCACAGCAGATAGGGTGTTTGCCTTGCCCATGGCTGACCCAGGTTCGATTCTCAGCATCACATATGGTCCCCTCAGGACTGCCAGGAGTCATTCCTGAGTGCAGGGCCAGGAGTAATCCCTGAGCATTGCTGTGTGTGACCCAAAAAGCAACAAAACAAACACACAAAATTTAATTTTTATTACATTGAAGGCAATGTGCTTACAACAGTTTTAACCTATACAGTGGTCAAGATTTTTGGTTTGTATTTTGTATACACAGAACAGCAGATTGTTTATTGCCATCAATTAATCAGGGAGAGCACAGTTGCTATAAAATGCTTTTTTTTAATTTCAGAAAGATTTACAATTTTACAATATTGTCAATGATAACGTTTCAGAAAATAACCTTTAAACACCACAGTCCAGACCATAGTCTCCATTTCCCTCGACCAACATTACAACTTCCCAATGAAAAGTGCCCACCTCCACCAGTGGAGGTTTTACATTTTTCTTTCATTTTCATTGCACTGAAAGTAACATGTTATGAAAGTATTAACATATATAGTTTTCAAGTACAAAGTTATTGTACATTTTAGAAAGCACCAAAGTACAGATCACCCTTAACCATTGTACTTTTAGTTAAAATATGTATGTATATTTTATAATAATACCTATATTATTTAATTCATAGTAATTGAACTGAATATGTGAGATAGTTAAAAACTTTTCGTGATCTGGTTTCAGATATACAATGTTCCAACATCCATCCTTTCACCAAATACACTTACCACCACCAATGTCCTGAGTTTCCCTTCTACCAGCTCCACACATTCTGGGCCACCAAGTGTTCCTGTAGACAGGCATATTTAATCTTGTCTCTCTCTCTCAACTATTGGGTTTACAGCTTCCAATACCGATACAGAGAGGTCATCATGTTTGGTCAGTTACCCAATTTCAAAACACATCTCCATCCAGAGAAATCCCTTCCAACCATCATTGTCAAATGGTCCCTATTCTGATCCCAACTGCTCTGTACTCAGGAAATTATCTGCTGTGCAGGGGATCAAACCAAGTTGGACCCAAGGAAGGAAAGCATCTAATCTGCTGTATGCATCTAATATGCTCCAGCCATATAAATTTTTAAGTATAAGTGACTAGCCTCAAATGTCTGGTGGATCTTACCCAATCAGATCAAGCCGCACCAGATGAAGCTAACTTTTATCTTCCAAGTTGTTTTCTTGCTTGAATCTGACAGAAAAATATATTGGGAAAATAGTATGTCCCAGGCAAGGAAAAGATCAGGAAAATGCAAGTCAAAACCACAAGAGAACTATCACTTGGTATCTGCCAGGGAGGTATTTAGAAAATACCAAACACTTAATCACTTGGTATCTGTCAGCAAAATACTAAACATCAAATGCTGAGACAGAGTACTGGGATGCCAGGGATCAAACCGATGAGCTGCATGCAAAGCACGCAAGCATGTAGGAAATCTTTCCCACTGAAATCTCATCTAATTCAACAAGATGGAAGTCACTCTGAAGATAAACCTTTCAAATGTAAAGCAGGTAGCAAAACTTTCACACAAAAGTCATGCAGAATTCAGCAATATTAAAAACATGCAGTATAAAATTCTAAGGGTGTAAAGCATGTAGGAAATCTTTCCCACTAGAATCATATCTCATTCACCAATATGGATGTCACTCTGATGAAAAACCTTATCAATGTAAAGCACGTACTAAAATTTTCTCATGAAAGGCATGTAGAATTCAACAATATCAAATTCATATAGTAAGAAATCCGAGGGATCTAAAGTATTTAGGAAATTTTTCCCACTGAAATCATATCTAAGTCAACAATATCAAATTCGAACAGGTGAGAAACCTTTCTCACGAAAGTCACATTTAACTCATTAACAATAAATGGGTACAGGTAGGAAAACCCATGAATTTTCTAATAGATCATAGTAAAATGCTCTCATAAAAATCCTATCTAATAAAATTATAAAGCAAAAAAAAAACAGGGAGATATTGCAATCCCCCAGACTTCTAGGCAGGCTTCCAACCATGGACCAATCCTCCTGGTCTTCTTTCTACTGTCCTTGAGTGGTACCTTCTTTCCTTACAACTCCCATAAGTGAGATTGCCCGATGACCTCTTTCATCTTTGTGATTCTTTTCACTTACTAGAACTCCATCCAATCCCATGAAAGTTACAGAATGTTCTCTTCTGGATTTGGACCAATCTCACCCCAGAACAGCCCGCACTGTGCTCAGGGCTTACTCTTGGCTCTGCATTCAGGCAACTATAAAGATACTATGGAAAAAACCCGGGTTGACTATAGACACGGGAAGCATCATATCTGATTCTCAATCAATCCAATCCTAGAAATCCCCTTGTATGAGTAAGTAACCTTAAAATTCTCGTGGGTCTTACCCAATCAGATCAAGCCTCTCCAGAAGAAGTTAACATCTTAACTTCCGAGTTGTTCTCTAGCTAGAATAGGAAAGAAACATATATCGAAGAAATAGTATATTCCAGGCAAGTGAACGATCAGGGTAATGCAAGTCAAATCCTCAAGAAACTTATCAAGTAGTATCTGCCAGCCAGGGAATTAACAAAATAACAAACACTTACCACTTGGTATCTGTCAGCAAAATACCAGACATCAAATGCTGAGACAGAGTCCTGGGATGCCAGGGATTAAGCCGATGGGCTGCATACAAAGCAAGCAGGCATGTAGGAAATCTTTTCCACTGAAATCACATCCACTTCAGCAATATAGAAGACCCTCAGGAGATAACCATTTCAAATGTGAAACAGTGAGCAAAACATTTTCACAAAGTCATGCAGAATTCAGCAATATCAAGTTCATACAGAATGAAATCTTAGGGGTGTAAAGCATGTCGGAAATCATTCCCAATAGAATCATACGGAGACCAACAATATGGAAGTCACTATGATCAAAAACCTCCTCAATGTAAAGCAGGCCAAAAAACTTTCTCATGACAGTCCTGCAGAATTCAACAATATCAAATTCATATAGTAAGAAATCCGAGGGGTGTAAGCATGTAGGAGATCGTTCCCAGTGAAATCGTATCTAATTCAACAATATCAAAGTCGGACAGGAGAGAAACCTTTCTCACTAAAGTAACAACTAAGTCAACAACATTAAATTCATACAGTTAACAGTCCCCATTAATTTTCACGGAGGAGGTACGGAAATGTTCTCACAAAAACATATCTAATTCAATTAAAAAACTCAAAGACAAAGACATTGGGAATCCCACAGCCTTTGAGGCAGGTTTCCAACCATGAATGAATCCTCCTGGTCTTCTTTCCACTGTCCTAGGTTCGTTCCTACTTTCCTTTCACCTCACATAGGTGAAACTGCCCGATGAGCCCTTTGTTCTTTCTGACTCTCTTCCCTTACCAGAAGTCCATCCAATCCCATGCAAGTTACAGCTTTTGCTTTTCTGGATTTGGATCAATCCCAGGCCGGTACAGCACACACTACGCCTCAGGGATTACACTTGGCTCTGCACTCAGGCAACTGTACGGATGCTAGGGAGCATACCCGGTCAAACACAACCAACGAAAGCATCTTACCTGCTGCACAATCGCTATACCCCTAGAAATACACTTGTCTAAGTGAGTAACCTCAAAATTCTGGTGGGTCTTACCCAGAGAGATCAAGCCTCTGCAGAAGAAGCTAACTTCTTGACTTCTGAGTAGTTTTCTGGTTAGAATCTGACAGACACATATATGGAAAAGCTGTATATCCCAGCCAAGGAAGATTTAATTGACAATTTCCTACACCAGGAAAATGCAAATCAAATCAACAATGAGTTTATCTGTAATCAACTCTATTAACAAATAACAGCAAATGGTGAAAGAGACTGACTCCTGGGAGATGACTCAGAATGATCTAGCAGGGCATACTTTGAGGACGGGCCAGTGTCAAACTCTGAAACCATAACGACTTGGCTCGCATATACAAGGTTTCTTCTGCCCACATATAATCATTGTGAATGAAGTTGTCTGTGGACACCCAGTCTCACTAAAATCATACCTAATACAACACTATCGTATTCATACAGGAGAGAAACCTTATGAAAGAACGTGGGAAGTCGTTCTGACTAAAATCATATCGAATTCAGCAATATCGAATTTGTATAGGTGAGAAACCCTATGAA